ATTTATATTCACTTTCATTGCATTTCATATGTATTTATGTCTCTTAATTTTTCCCTCCTTATCTTAATAGAAACTTTAATTTTTCTAAGGTTTAACTTTTTTGTCTTTTTTTTTTTTTGAGCCAGAAGTTCACTATGTTGCTCAGGCTGGCCTCAAACTCCTGGTCTTAAGCAATCCTCCCACCTCAGCCTCCCAAGTAGCTGTGACTAACATGTCTTAATTAGCAAAAAAATACGTTTCAAGTTTGAATTTACATAAATTTGAAAAGAATCGTATAAGACTTCAATGCAACATTAACCACAGAAATAAATGTAGCATTTAAACTACATATTAAAGGATATTCTTGCACTTAAGTGCAGGCAACTTCAATGATTTCTCGTTGAATACCCTTTATATATTAGTCAGTAAACACAGAAAGCAGGGCAGTTTGGTTCTTACCCTATTGCATAGAAATCTGAAGACTTGCATGAATCCTGTAGGAACAGGGTATCACCATTTCACTCACCAGGGTGCCACATGGGACCTCAAAGCCAACATTAGCTTTCATTTGCAAGGAATAAGGGAACCATACTAAATGAGAGTGACTAGAATAAGCCCAGCCCAGTTGCCATCACTTGTCCATGCACACCACAAGCTCTAACCACATGATATTTCCAAACAGTATGCTAAGTATCTGTGGGATGCCTTGGTACCTTTGCACATGCTGTTCCTTCTGCCTGGAAGGACCCTTCTACCCTGAAAAGCATTTTGTCCCCTGTGAAGACCAAGTCCAGTAGCACATCCCCTGTGAAGTCTTCTCTCAGGCCACGTTGCTCTTTTCTTTGTATTCTGTAGTGTTTTGTTCATACTTTGATTAGAACATTTATTGTGTTATATTTGTATTGTCTCCTTCTACTAATCTGAGAGGTCATTTTTTTTTTTTGAGATGTCTTGCTTTTGTACCACAGGCTGGAGTGCGATGGCACGATCTCGGCTCACTGCAACCTCCGTCTCCTGGGTTCAAGCGACTCTCCTTCCTCGGCCCCCTGAGTAGCTTGGATTACAGGCGCCTGCCATCATGCCCAGCTAATTTTTGTATTTTTAATAGAGATGGGGTTTCACCATGTTGGTCAGGCTGATCTAGAACTCCTGACCTCAGGTGATCCACCCGCCTCAGCTTCCCAAAGTGCTGGGATTACAGGCGTGAGCCACCACGCCTGGCCATCTGAGAGGTCTTATCTGTCAATCAGCTATGTGTCCTTTCAGTGACTTCTATCTTTACTACAGAGTAGACATTTAATAGACATTTCTTAAATGAAAGGGAGAGGTTGTGATCAGTTTGAATGTCTGGTATAAACTGTTGATACCCTTCCAGAATTTACTCACAACTGCCTAAGAATAAAACTGTTCAGTATTAGGCTCTAGAGGCAGACTACCTGGTTCAAATACTGGTTTTGCCATTTACCAGCTGCGTGGCCTTGGGAAATTTACTTAACTTCTCTGTGCCTTAGTTTCGTCCCCTTTAAACAAAGATTATAATAGTGTATACCTCATAGGGGTGTTGTGAGGATTAAGTGAATTGATTACATAAAATCTTTAGAACGCTGCTTGGCATAGTAGGCCCTTTATAAACCCCATGTAACCTACTGTTAGTAGGTTCCAGGAACTGGAAATATGCAGATGAATTAGATGTGATTTCCTTTTCTTCATCGTCTTGTGGGAAAGACAGAGGTGGATATAAAAGGAACCTGGCAACACCATGGTAGAGTCTGTACAAGGAAGTGCTTTGTTCCTAAGGCCTGGGGTGGAGGAGTCCAGGAGCACCCCATATGGGAAGTGGTAGTTTAGCTGAGATTTGATGGATGAGTGGTAGTTGCTGGGTGGATTAGGTGGGGATGTGCATTTTAGACAAATATAAGTAAAGATAAAACATATGAAAGACAGGCCGGGGGCGGTGGCTCATGCCTGTAATCCCAGCACTTTGGGAGGTCGAGGCGGGCGGATCACCTGAGGTCGGAAGTTCAAGACCAGACTGGCCAACATGGAGAAATGCCATCTCTACTAAAAATACAACATTAGCTGGGTGTGGTGGTGCATGCCTATAATCCTAGCTACTCGGGAGGCTGAGGCAGGAGAATCGCTTGAACCCAGGAGGGGGAGGTTGCAGTAAGCCAAGATCAGGCCAGTGCACTCCAGCCTGGGTGACAGAGTAAGACTCTGCTAAAAAAAAAAAAAAAAAAAAAAAAATATATATATATATACACACACACACACACACACATACACATACATGACAACATGAAAGCATGTGGAGCATTTGGGGAGTGGCCTTGGCATAGATCTGAGGTGAAAGGTAGTGGGGAGTGAAGCTGGAGGATGTCACATGTGCTATTAGCTAGTTTATTCAATACCTGTGTTCAACCATCTTCTCTCCTGCCTTCCTCTACCAGAATCAGGGAGGTGAAATGCTAAGTGTTTCCATCCAGGCGAGGCCATACGTGAGGTAACAGGGTATTAGCTGAGAAGGGCTTTTCTCCCAGGAAGAAAATGCAAAGTCCTGCAAGGAGAAGGCTTTTTTGGCCTGTTGCTTTCTTCCTGCCTGGAATTTGGACTTGAGGCTTTAACAGAGGAGGATGAGGCCATCTGCTAAGGATGGTGCAGTGGGCAGGCCCGGAGAGCTGGGAGCCCTGGGGGCTCACTCAACAGCGGCACTGCCTGGATCACCTCCCTCTGGACGTCTTGTTTGTGAGAAATATCAGAGCCAGTCAGACTTCCCCTTGCTTGGAGCCAAATACATACTTAACTGACATAATGGTAAGCAATGCCCGATCAAAGAAGGCCTTGAATGCTCTGCAGAGGAGCTATGACATTGACATTTGGACCCTGGGAACTGTTGTACAATTTAGGGGCTGAATGGACAGTTTTGCAGCAACACAAACCTTGGTTCAAATCTCCATTCAGCCAGTTACACACTGTTTAACTTGAGACATCAGTTATCCTCAGCCTGAGCCTTATCAGGCGGACATGAGATGAGGGATATTTGAGATGAATAACTCTAACTGCACCACGTGGGATGGAAGGGAGGCAGCCCAGAGCAGAGGGCTGGGGAGGATTTGCCAGTATTCTGCCAGAATAAAATCAGTCTTAATCAAAGCTTCAGAAATCATTTCAGAACTTAAAGTGTATTCTAGTTGATGTTTTTAGCCAAAAAACATTCTGATGGTGCTGGATTTTCCAAACATTCTCTGCCACTTAAAACACCTTTATGACTAAATGTCTTAGAATAGGTTCCACTAAAGTCCTTCAGAAGAGAGAAGCCTTCCCTCTCATACAAAATAAATTCCTGTGGTATCTTTTATTATCCCTAGGAATGTAGGGAAGAGTTCAGAAATAATTGATGAGCACAGCCAGGACTGAATAAACAAATTAAGATTCATTATTCCATTCGAGTGGTGCTATCAGTGTTTTAGAATCTGTTGATAACCAGCGCTAGGAGGAAGTTTCAGTACAAGTCTATTTCCCTCATGTCTACTTCAAAGCTCTAACGAAGCTCTTCTGGGAAACCTGGGAGAGGGTTAATTAAGCCCAGGAAGGGAGTGGTATGATTTAATAGATAATAAAAAATATTTGCTCTCATATGTCTAATTATGTTTTCTTGTCAAGGATGCTTGAAAGCTCTAAGTCAGAGATGATCTACTCTGAAAAATAAAGGAAGAAATCCTCTCCAAAGCAAGTTCCTTCAGTGGGAGCATGTTTCCATCAATAATAGGCTGAGGAGGGTAATCTAAGCCTCAGGTGGAGGATAACTGATCTCTCAAATTTATAAAACTATTAACTGGCCAAGCTGGGATTAGAATCCAGGTTTCTATGACTATAAAAGTGTACTTTTAACCTACATTATACTCCATCCACTCTCATGACCTAGGCCTCCCCGCCCCTCAACTACATGGTTTGGGGGTTATAGCTTCAAACTCAGGTCTGGCAGGGAGGCAGCCAAATGGGTGGTGATGACTTTCTTTTTTCTTTCTTTTTCAGAGACAGGGTCTCGCTCTGTTACCCAGCTTGGAGTGCAGTGGCATGATCCCAGCTCACTACAACCTCTGCCTGTGAGGCTCAAGAAATCCTCCCACATCAGCCTCTCCAGTAGCTGGGACCACAGGCACACACTGCCATGCTCAGCTAATTTTTTTTGTTTTGTTTTGTTTTGTTTTGGTAGAGACAGAGTTTTGCCATGTTGCCCAGGCTGGTCTTGAACTTCTGGAGTCAAGTGATTCACCTGCCCTAGCCTTCCTAAGTGCTGGTATTATAAGTGCAGGCTACCTTGCCTGGCCAAATAAGTGGTGACAACTTTCTGTGTGTCCTTTAGGAGAGAACTTTGAGGACCCTCCAAACCCCTGGCAAAGGCGACACTTTTAGGAGTGAAGAAGGGCCTTTGTAGACAACACAGACTATTCAATACTCTAGCAAGCTGCCCAGCCCCGTGCAAACCATGAAGATGGGATAAACCATTAGGCTTCACTATCTATTTAAATCAAATAATATTTAACCCAACCAGGGATATTCTAGGGCTTACTTATTCACCTATCCCAGGAACCTGATAGTTTTAGAATCTCTGGAACTGGTCTAGAAGGCTACATGTGAGATTTGACACCCTTGCTCAAGGATCATGTGCATGGTAAGAGCTGTGGAGAAACTGGAAGGCTCTGATCACAACTCTTCTCTTCCTTCTCCCACACGAAGGGCAGAGGGAAAGGCCGTCCTTCTCATGGCATGGGTTCTGAATCAGAAGAGGCAACTGCATGCAGTGCAATGAAAAGTGTGTTAGTTCTGTCTGGGGAGACTTGATCAAGATCCCTGAGTTGCAACCGCTGGAGAACATGGCTCCCTTCTAAGACCATGACAGCCACAGATTGAGCAGCAGAGCCCAGTGCTCCATGAATGGAGGGAAGGAGGAGAGCTGGTTCATAGTCAGCCCTTTCACTTTGTTACTTGGGCTTCTTTTCAGGGCCCACAGCACTCACCTCGGCCTGCCAGATGGGGTTCACGGTGTTGCCTATGATCTTGGATCTCCTCTCCTGTCCATGGTGAGGGAGGGCGGGGAAGATGCTGTGCTTCCCAGGCTGAATGGAAATCTTCAGATAAGGGTCTGGGTTGAAAAACATCCCTTTCTTCAACCCCATGGCTTGGAAATCTATAAAATAAAGGATACTTTAATTTAAATATGTTTTAGGGAGGTTAACAACCGGCACTTGGTAACTACACCTTTCATGAGAGGACCGTTGGCCCTTATGAACTAGATCTCTAGTGTTACTCAGGCAGGTAAATGGGCTGGGGTGAAGGAGTGAGGGTCACCCCAGGAAACGTGGGTAGCCCAGGGAGACAAAGTTCAACTTTGGAAATTTGATGGGTCTGGGTGTAAAATTCCTCTGCAAGGTGAAGACATTAAAAAAATAAGGGTTGGAGTCTCACGATATATGTGGGCCTCATTGAGTAAGGTGAGAGAATTGGCAGAAATAAAGAGAGAGAAGAGGATGAAAAGAGCACAGAGCGTGGACAATGGAGGAAAGAACAAACAAGACGTGGCCTCCATGGGGCTGAGTGCAGTCAACGAGGAGAGTTCTGAGAAACCCTGCTGCCAGGGAGGGCAGGGCTTTGAAAACCAAGCTGTTCTGTTTAATTGAAGATATCTGACCATGTACAATTTCATGCTGCACAAGGAGAGAGAGACAGAAAGAGTGTGTGTGCACAAGATCATTTATGGCAATGGTTTATAGCTGGATAATTTGAAATCACATATTTATTAGAAATATATTTATGATGTCAAGGAATATAATTTTTTTTTTTTTTTTTTGAGATGGAGTCACCCAGGCTGAAGTATAGTGGTGGGATCTTGGCTCACTGCAAACTCTGCCTCCCGGTTTCAAGCATTTCTTCCTGCCTCAGCCTCTCGAGTAGCTGGGATTACAAGTGCCTACCACCATGCCTCATGCCTGGTGAATTTTTGTATTTTTGGTAGAGACGCGTTTTCACCATGTTGGCCAGGCTGGTCTTGAACTCCTGACCTCAGGTGATCCACCCGCCTTGGCCTCCCAAAGTGCTGGGATTACAGGTGTGAGCCACCGCGCCCAGCCAAGGAATGTAATTTTTAAAGCTTTTTCTATTGTTGAAGTATTTTTCAAACAAAATTATTTACATTTACACACAAGTGTAACAAATGGAGGTAAAGATACACAGGATCAGGGATTCCCAGTCAAGGTATAAGTTGTGAGGGGTTTCAATAATTTGTTACTGATGAAAAAGCACAGATGTTTTCATATGCATTTATTTAAAAGTTATTTTGAGTTGATCCAAGGTTATCCGCTTAATAAAATTATTCCTACTCTCTAGCATGATAATATATTACTGCTCTGTGAAAGGGCCATATAGTCAAAATGGCCCCCAAATGCCAAAGGAGTTGAGAAACCAAAGAAGGAGGCAGACAAATCCAGTTTGTCGGTAAA